TAATGATAGTAGCGATAGTGATAATAACAATAATAATGATAACAATAATAATAGTGATAAAAATAATAATATTAATGACAGCACCAACAATAAGGAATCTAAATCATCAGTAGTAATTCCATACAAGGAAGGAACCTCGGAAACCACCTTACGCAGATTTCCTAACAAGGCAGGAATAAAAATGGCATTCAAACCCACAAACTCAATTAGAAACAAACTTTGTCGGTTAAAGGATCTTGCCAGTGGAGCCTTTAAAACAAAACAATTTAGTTTATCTAATACCCTGACTACGAAGATTGTCAGGTCAAATACATAGGTCAAACTAGTAGAACAGGGGCAGTCAGACTAGCTGAACATAAAAACTTAGCAAAATCTAGATTGGTTGACCCGAATAAGATAAGAAATCTACAGAATAGTTCAGCTATAGCACTCACTACATGCAGTTACACACAACGAAACATACAATAGGATGGGATGGGATAGAATGAAAGCTTTAAAATCTAATGTCACAGGGTGGAGGGAGAGATTGATTACAGAAGCTTTGTTTATCGAGTCAACTGCAAATACATGTAATAGGAATGATTCAACACCTATCCACCCAGATATCTGGAAAATTCTACTACCCCAACGACGACAAATAGGAGAGAACAAAGAAAACTATAAACTCAAGTTTCGACGTCGTGTGATTATAACTGATTGGTATGATTATGAACACTAATAAATTTTGTTCGAAACCTTGTCATCCAGTAAATAATAATACTGTTTCTCTGTGTGATATATCTAATAAACAAACTAATATGGAATTACTTACTACCACAGTGCCCAAGTTTTACACATATATTAATACTAACTTATAGGCCTGATCAGGTAGTGGCTGGATGGGTAACTACTTCGTTGTCTTCCTCGATGGGCAGTGTTAGCTGACTGATATAGGATAAGGTTGAGGAAGAGCCAGTGATGATGGTGATCAGACGAAAACATTGCTTCATCAGTCAATGAAATCCACAACAGTTAGTTTAAGCTGGCTAGCCAGTCGACACCTCCCTACGTGACTGAGTGGTTGGGGTCCTCGAGATGGTGAAAACCGATGACGGCTGGAGACAATTAATTAGTGGTGATATGGTTCAGTGATCGTTGTCAATAGCTGGCACAGATGCATTCACCCTTTCTGATTTATTATATCCTATAAAATTCTGTTGTTCTTCCATATCACTATTCCTTTTCCCCTCACTCACATTTCTGTTTATTATCTGTCTTTTGAACGTCTCTTATTACTGTCTTCTGTTGCTTTGTGTGGCACATGGAGTGAGTGTGGCAACTTGAACTGAGTGGTGCACATCTATGGAGAATTGTTGTGTGTTGAAACCAACCAGTCAGTCGGTCAGTTAAATTTTTCCTCAACTATCCTTTTGTGTATACTGCGGTTTTTGTCCTTACGTAGTTATGTGTGTGTGTCAATTAGGAAGAGGCTGTCTGGCTGCCCCCCACCCCTTGGATATTCATTTCTTCTTGGAATTAACGGTAAAACAACAGAAGGAACATTAGTGATACGTGAGGGTAAAGCGGAAGAGACCACTTCCTTTGGTTCTGGGCTTTTAGTTTGGTCCATATTATAAATCTTATCTCCAGTTACGAACAACCGCTAGGTATATGGGGATTGAGGTTGACTTATTCGAACTCACCATTCCAGAGCGATGAGACAGCATAGACTACTTCCTGGTAATGTTATAGAAATACCTTACTGCTGTGTTATATATCCCTATTTATCACCGGTACGACTTGACCCACAGATCCTCAACATAGTGCAAATAACTTACACCACGCGATAGTAACCGCTTGTGGTCTATAGCCGCTATCCAAAAGACCTTAAATAATGGTATGGTAAGATCTACAGGAACATTGGTTCCATTCAGCATAGCTTGTGTTGGGTTATTCACGACTTGCAAGCCAGCTGTCAGTCGGAATGTTCCTATATGGGGTAACTAAAACATATTGAAGCGTATGTAAATATATTTAGTTGATTAGTGTTACTAGTTGTCACCCCCCCATATTACTACTACTATTACTACTCATAAGTGTCACAAGATTTCATGGAATAGATGTGAGTCATTGTTTGTTTGGTCTGTACGAATCCTAGTTAGACTGAATTGCATTTTATTTGCTCCATGGGTAGGTACACTTTCGCGTACGCACTTGGTTACATGCGTGTGTATGTACGTACAGGTGTTAAACCACACGACGTAATTGATGGAAGTCAAGCGCTTCGATCATCATTTAGGCACAACTTCACACTTAGAAGCCTATGTATTGTATTAGTAGTATTGTACTTGTTTAATTATAAATTGTCCTTACTTATACGTATATATTATGTGGTTCAGGTTAGACCACTCACAGATTGATATCAGTTAGAGAACCATTGAAAACCTACAAACAAATAGATTCCCTACAAACTGATTTTTGAAAGTTAATGTGATACTCGCTAGTGACTTGCTACAGGGGACAGAGTTTCCTGCAGTTCTAGCGGAGAAGTCGTGACCAATGAGGTCCATCCAGTCGGAAGTGTTGATGCAGCACCCTCCGATGACATTGGTTTGTGCCAGTCACGCTAAAATCATGAATTGTTAAAAGTTAGAATTCATGGACTGACCATTGGGTTCGAGTCCCATTGGCTGAATGGTACACGAGCTTGCTTTGCTTGTAACGGGAAGGGTGAGAACTGTCGATGAGTCCCAAACTAGGCTGATGAAACAGCTGTCCAATACTCCGTGGTGGTTTTCAGCGGTTCATTAACTGACATCAATCCGTGGTCTTGCCTGTAACAAATAAAATCCCTACAATGATTGATGATAATAATAATGATGGTAAAAGCCTGTGCTATTTAACACCTTTTTCTCCAAAGAATTTTCTAACATTCTTCTTCATATTACGGTAGTTAGTTCAATTACCAGTGAAATGAATATACTAATCATGTGGCATGTGGTGTTTTTTTTCTAAGAAATTTTTGTCAAATAAGTACTATTATTATTATTATCATCATCATTATGACGATGCCGGTTATACACGCTATTTTAACTTGTACAGTAAGAGTCATGTGTATTTCATGGTGATTTTCGATGTTAGCGAATAATATATAAATATATTTGTCAATCAAATACACTTTTTACCTCATCATATTCTTATTATTTCTTTGCCATCTAATAGTCTCTCTACCCTCAAATGCACACATACAAACAAACACAATTCCATCTCCCACTGTTCGTCGATAATCTCTAATGCTGGTTTGGTATTTAAACTTTCTTGTATGATATAAGTATACGTGTGTGTGAAACAGTTGTTGAAGATCAAATTCACAGTTTATCTATATATTTTTGATCACGGATTGATATCAGTTAGAGAACCATTGAAAACCACCATGGAGTAATGAACAGCTGTTTCCTCCATCCTGGTTTGGGAATCATCGGCAGTACGCATCCACTGCCAGGGCTCGAACCCAGGACCTTCCGGTTACAAGGCAAGCTAGCTCGTATACCATTCAGCCACTGGGACCCGATTCAATGACTCATCAATTCTAACTTCTACCAATTCGTGATTTAGCGCAGCCCCAACTAGTGGGTGCGTACAGTCGATGATTCCCAAACTCGTTGGATGAAACAGCTGTTCAGTTCTCCCTGCTTCTCTTCAATGGTTCTCTAACTGATATCAATCCGTGATCAACTCGTAAAAAACATAACTAACCCTTACAAACCAAACTATAGAAAATTAATCTGATGCTCGCTAGTGAATGACTTGCTACACGATGGAGTTTCCTGGAGTCAGTTCTAGTGAGAAGTCGTGACCAGTGAGGTTCAACCAGATGTCACGTGTGAGGATGAATGTCCCATTGATGATGACATTGGTTGGCTAAGTGTCTTTGATCATAGGTGTCTGCTTTCTAACTCCCATATTAACTGGTATAATAATGTGAGAAATATTGACTTTAGGCTTCGGTCGAGTGTTAGGTAGCTGGGAGGGGAAATCAATCGACGAGGTTGTGAAGCTACATCGATTGAGATGGTTAGGATATGTGTCACGCATGCTGAGCCATCGATTGCTTTCCTCGACGGTTAATGTTAGCTAACTGATCACGTTGGAGAAGAGCTAATGGTGGTGGTGGTGGTCAAAGCAAAGCATGGCGTCATCAGTCAGTCAAATCCACAACAGTTAGTGTAAGCCAGCCAGCCAGCCAGCCAAGTAGGGAGGTGTAAACTTCCTGGTTGGGTTCCTCAGGATGATAAGAATCAATGAAGGATGTAGACAATTAATGGCGATATGGCTCGAAGTGATCGTTGTCAATGGCTGGCCTGGTGGAGATGCATTCACTCTTTGTGATTTGTCATATTCAATAAGATTTAGCTGTTATTCCATATTACTGTTTTCTTTCTGCGTCGTATTTCTGTTGATTATCTATGTTTTGAATCTTTCTCTTGCTTTGTGTGCTACGTGGAGTGAGTGTGACAAATCGAAGTGTGGTGCATATTTGTGCAAAGTTGTTCTATGTAGAAACCAACCAGTCAGTCAGTTATCAGTAAATAAAATAAAACTGTGTCATAGTGAAATTACTTTCTAGTGTAATGCCAAAGTTGTATTCTTTGAATTCATGGATTATTGGATCCCGGCCTATTTGGGTGAGAATAGTGAACGAGTTTGGCCTCGTAACCTGGAGTTCCTACGTTTGATTCCCGTTGGGGTGTGGCGGAGTGGTTGTGGCGGCTGAGTATTGCTTACGAGATTAGTCTCATACTGGAGCGAAGCAGCTATCTAGTACCACCCTCTCCTACTTTGGTTTCTAATAGTCTTCTAACTGACATCTGTGCGTGATAAGCGCCATGCTTCTAAACTGTCTGCATGTTTTAACTCAGTCCCCTGTTGTTTTAGGCATTATTTTTTAAAACTCTTACACCTAATATGTTTATTTGTAGTTTATTTGTGGCGCTATATTATTGATTTTGTTTTATTTGCAGATCAACCTACTGTTTGGCCTCAGGATACAATGTCTGCAAAGATGCGTACACATTCTGGTCAATCGCCATGTGAGGCAGCCGACTTCATTGGCACACCGAAATCTGAAGGCAGTAACACTGAATGTTCCACTGCTACTACTACTACACCTTCTGTAGCATTCAGCAATGCTAATCAAGATGTACCAGCATCACAGAATAATAGTGCAGGCGTTGCTACACCTACTACTACTGCGACTACTATACCATCATTACTGCATAGTCTGTCTTCTCCGGCATCTTTCTCCGCCACTACTACTCCTACTCCTACTACTACTGGAAGACATCACAGCGGTGTATCTGGAGGTGGTAGTAATCTGTTGAACAACACCACCACCGGCAGTAGTAGTGAAAGTGATCAGATTTCTTCTGCACAATCACAAAATTGTGATCCAGTAGTTGCTGAATCCACTACAGCCAGTACAACAACTACTGTACCTATGATGAACAATACTAATAATGATATGAGTAATAATTTCCCAGTTACTCCTACTCCAACAACTGGTGTTTCTGTTATTACCGGTCAACTTCCACCACCATCATCTCCAATCACCACCACTACTACTCCTACTCCTACTTCGTCTTCTTCTTCACTGCCTGGTGTTGCAGTTGTAAGTGAACCGTCATCAGCCTCATGGAATTCACCAGGTTATAACAATTGTAATTCAAATATGGCGTCATCCTCGCCATCGTTACAACAACGTAAGTATAAGGTTATTATTATTACTGTTTTTAGCTCATTCTACTCATATTTGGGCCAAGTTAGACTTTAAGCACCACTAACTAACTACCAATGGAGTGCGACCGCCGCATCAATGACCTTGAAACATTGACTGAGCAATAAAATATACTCTTCGAAGTGTTATGCTATCGAATGGGATATCTGGCAAGTTTCAGCTTAGGTTTCGGAAAGATTAAGTTACGGTTTAAGCCAAGGATAAGTTAGGGCTAGATTAAATTAATAAAGGTGGCATTAGGGTTGGTTCGAGTTAGATTACAGTTAGTTTAGGGATATTTTCACGTTAGGTTTAGGATCAGGAAAGATTAAGGTTATTGTTAGGGTTAGAAGACCTAAATAATTACATGCATAGAATGTGGTTAAATTACTCTGTTGATATAAGAATAGTACTCGTGCACGGTGGTGGAGTAGAATTCCACTGTGGGTAACATTTATTTTGATAAAGTTTCATAGTGTTGTACACGAATATTTACTGATGACCACGTTTCGAGCACAATTTATTGCTTAGGGAATATTACTGTATTATAAAAATAAATTTTACCCACAATGGAATTTTATACTCTGTTGATACTCCCACCTAAAACTGAGAGCTATTTTTTATCATATGTGAGAGAAAGGTATCCTCTGAAACACTTTTTTATACAGTTTTTGTGCATTTATTTCATAAATATATGTATTCTATACCCACAAAAGTGCCTCCTTCATGTGATTGGTGCGTTCCAGCTCATTTGCTGATTGGTAGTTAGTGGTGCTTAAAGTTTAACTTTGCCACATATTTTTTTTCATCCTGCACTTTGAAATCCTCTCCTCCTCCTCCTCACAAGCTCTTCTGCATGTGTATCAACCTTTGAACCTATGCCCAACTTTTCGTTTTCAATTTTTGCGTCCCACTCAAGAGATTCCTCGAGGTCTCCTCAGCGTAATATCTAATCCATCTCTATAGATTTTTTCCCTGCAAATGTTTGAGTGGTTTGTTTATGATTTGCTTCATCGCCAGAGTTCCTTGTCAGCGGTGATATCTGGCTGTTGAGCAAAGCACCTGTGAACTGCTAAAACAGTTCGCTCTGACTTCCTTAATGGCTGTTAGCGAGACAAAGTCATTGAAAGTGGAAGACATGAAAAGGTTATCTGTCTTTGATTACAAGTGCCTTCGTTCTATCTCCCCTGTTAGTTGACATAAAAGGGTCAGTCGATCGAGTGTTAGGTAAGAAAGAGGAGGTTGGAAAATCAATCGACGAGATTGTGAAGCAGTTGCATCGATTGAGAACATTAAGATATGTGCAACGCATATTGAGCCACCGATCGCCTTCCTCGACTAACATCATAGGATGAGGTTGGAGAAGAGCTAATAGTGATAGCGGTCAAACCAAAACATTGCTTCATCAGTCAATGAAATCATTAACAATTAGTTTGAGTCAGTGACGTAGGGAAGTGCATACTGTCTAAGTGGTTGGAGGGAACCCTCAGAATAGTGAGAACCAATGACGACGGCTGGAGACAATTGGTGAATGTCTGGCACAGATGCATCCACTCTTTGTGGTCTATCATCTCTAACAAAACTCTACCGTTCTTCCATACCGCTTTTCTTTTTTCCCCTCACTGACACTTCTGTCTTTTGAATCTATCTTTACTCTCCGCTTCTGCTTTGTGTGGTACATGGAGGGAGAATGGCAACTGGAACTTAGTTCTATGTTGAAACCAGTCAGTCAGAATTCCTTGTTGCTAGTCCTTTCTGGCCGACCATCTGATCTTCAGTACAGAGTAAGCGAAGGCAGTTATTGATAAAAGTCTCCACTAGCCTGTTGGGAATGCTTTTGGTGGCGTACACGCTAAATAAATCTCCGAACCATATAATGGGAGAGCACTTACTAACTTGACATTAATTTCAGAAATTCAGATAATGGTTCTTTATGCTGAGATTGATTTCATAAGATCTCCACCCTGATTCGTGAGTTAATGAAGGCCTCCTATCCTGCTTTTCCTTTTCTGAATGCCTTTTTATATCCTCATCTGTGTACACTGTCGAAACAATGTTTTTGTCGATGAGTGAAAGATGTGACTTCCTTGAAGGTTTCACCTGCTGTTTTTTATTTGGTATCTTAATCGCAACACTGCCTTCTCTCTCTTTTATCACTTGAGGTCTCTTCTCTTCACTGTTTCTTTCACCAACTTGTTGCTTTTCGTCTAAAGATCTTCAAGTTTGTGTTATACTAGACATAAATCGTCCACAACATCCGAAGGCCATCTAGAGTCTTTGTCTTTATCCAGTGTGTGTGTATGTGTATGTGTGTGTCTGTTGGTTTCTCTCACTCCCTCTGGATCGTCTGTTCCATGATCTCGTCCACCAGGAGGCTGTGAACTGTACTTGGTGTTTATCGGTTAATAAATGAATACTGCTTAGTATCACAGTCTAGTCTAGTCTGAAATCAATGGAACAGGATTTGAGGCCCAGTACAACTCGCTAGGTGGAAAGGATGAGTGCTTAAAGTTATGTTGTATTTATTTATTAGTAAATAAAGATGTATGCATGAAATGCTGTATTATACACTTACCCAGCGATTCATATTGTTTCGTCTTAGTTTGGGACTCTTCATCAGTATGCACCCATTGTCCAGGGTTCGAACCTCCCAGTTACGAGGCGAGCTCATAGACCATTCAGCTACTGGGACCTGACCCCAATGGTCCATCAATCCCAGCTTCTGCAAATTCGTTGTATAATACATTTAACTCGACCGCCAGCCATTGTCACAGGCGAAAAACTGTCCTCTTGTCCGACTTGGTGGATCCCTGTGTTTCCGACTTCTCAGTATAAAACCCTAGATAACTCCTTGTATGGCGGCAGTCGTTAGCGAGCATCAGATTTATTAACAATTGTTGGTTTGCAGGCATTTCATTGGTTACATGATTGACTATGAGCTGGTATCAGTCGGAGAATCATTGGAAAACCTCTAAAGGAGGGAGTACTGGACAGCTGTTTCGTTTTAGTTTGCGACCTGGCATCAGTTCTCACTCAGGACCTACAGGTTACAAGGCGTGCTCTTAGACACCTATCCAGTACTTCCTTACAGGTTTTCCAGTGCTTCTCTCATAATTTTGTGCACCAGTGGTTGAACGAATGGTAGAATCCTTGTGTCAATCAGCCACACGATGGTCCATGGTCAATTACCAGCCACTCCTAAACCCCCCCTCTCTTAGATGGTAGTTAATCCGGAAAATAAGGCAATTCGGTGAACATCAGTCTAGCATCCCCACAACCTTCACTGAAAGAAACATCAAACCTGTAGTTCGAACAGCATTACCTTTCATTCTGGACAAATGGAATGAACAAGACAAAAAAGTTTTTCTATAATTCTGATGTTGTATGTATTCACACACCCATCCTTATTCTTGCTTTCATCAAAAGAAGACACATCGACTGGCTTGCTTCCCGAAGGCTTTCACCAACCAGCCTGCTTTTGTGTCATTTCACCTCTCCAATTCCAGCGAGAAATCAAGTTGTTGTTGTTTTTTAAAACAGTTCTTTTTTAGATATAATTTTTACTGTGTGCGATGAAATTTCTGTTGCCGTTTGATTGATCCTGTGTTGGGGGGGGGGTGTAGGGTCGTTAGCCCCACACCCCCAACCCCCAAACCGGTTAAGAAAACAAACTAGCGAGGTAGTCAACTTGGCCAAGTTTATATATATATATATTCACACATCTATAAATAAATGTTTTCTTAACCTCAGAATATATATATATATATATATGCATGCATACATTCATTTGGCCTTAAAGTTCATCGTTTTATTTCGATAAGTAAATATATGAGGACGCAATAAATACATAAATATATCTATTAATTAATTTATTGATTGATTCATTCAGAATTCACTTTGGAATTAGTTAATAACGAAGAATTCGGTGAAAAATTTTTTTTGACAAATACCCAGAGAGAAGTGCAACAAATATGTATTAGTAGTAATAACAATAATAATTATAGAGCTTCGGGTGGCACAGCGATTAGGACGCTCACCGACCATGCACACGGTCCGGGGTTCGATCCTCGGCCGACGCACTCCTTTACCTCGCTAAGCCAGAAATAATTCTGGTGAAGAGGAAACGTTGGGCATGAGGCAGGCTAGCAACCCCATCCTGCAAAATAAACACTGCTACAGAAACTTCAAGCTACTGGCTTGAAGCCCTATGTTCCACTGGGGAACATGAGGGAAAAAAATGATATCACATGCTGCCGACACCCTTAAAATTTTCTTGGATGCGTCTTATATAGTCAGGCATGGGATACATATATTAATTCATTTTCTGACTGATTCACACTCAATATATATATATATATATAACTTGCTTTATTTTGGTGCTCTTTATGAGTGTTTGCGCGCGTTTATTACTTAAAAATTGATTTACACTACTGTTTTTTTTTTAAAAATAGTTGTGTTTCTCTGAGGTAACGGTTGATTTAAAACTCCGAGGCTTTCGTTGTCCCCGTCATCCCTCCACCTTCTAGACAGTATCTTCAGTCAGACCAGGTTTTTGAGTATTTTGAAATGAATTTATTTGAATTCTCTCTCTCTCTCTCCATGAATGGTGATGTTGTAATTATTTCTCCTGATCAGGGTGTTGTAGCCATGTGGCCGTAGACGTTTGCCTGAGTCAAGGTTTCCACCCAATAATAATAAGGGCGTCATCCTGTTGCAACTTCGAAAGATACGGGAATGGGCAATCAACGTACATTATATGGGTGGGTGGCACACTGGTTAGGACGCTCGCCAACCACGCTTGTGATCTGCAGTTCGATCTCCCACCGCCGAGGCACTCGATAAGCTAGTAATAAGGGAAGGTTGGGCATGAGACTAACAACCCCATCCCGTAAAAATGAACACTACTGCTACCGAAACTTCAAAAAGCTCTAGCTTGAAGCCCTATGTTCCACTGGAAACGTAAAGGAATAAAAAAAAATGTATTGA